AGGAAACCACGAGTCCCGTGTTTACATTTTCTCGTAAGACCCTAGTTACTTTACGAGGAAATAATCAGTCCCGTTTTTTCACTTCACGAGGGTTTTACGAGGAAAAGGCTTACGTGGAGTTTATGAGGATTGAACCAGTCCCGTGTTTTTATTTACGAGGATTTTACGAGAAAAGGTTTGTATATCCCTAAAATTTGAAACCACAAACCCCAAAATCCAACTTCCTTAACTTATAACCTCTAAAACTTCCTAAACCCCAAATTCCCAACTTCCCAAATGAACAACAATGAATTTGCTAACTCAAACTCTACTTCATTTTCGTAATTAACAAACTGAATATATAAATAATTAAGTCTTAAAATCATTAATATTAAAAAACTACAACATCATTCGGATACATTATTACCATTCTCGGAATCACTAGAGACATCATCATCTTCGTAAAACTCGTCTTCAACAGCTTCGTCTGTTGTATGATCTGGGACATCTTCGTATTCACGATTATGCGGATCAATGAGTAGGATTTCATCAATTTGTGCTTTAGGTTCCTCGATTTCGTTGGTGTGTTCCTCTTGTAATGGTGGTTCTTCTTTAGCGATTATTCGTCCACGAGGTGTAACTTAGATAACAGGTAACCAATTTATTCCTGAGGTTGTCGTCCGACGGTATGGAATGAAGCAAACTTAGTCTGCTTGTGAAGCTAATATGAAAGGCTCGGATTTGTTGTACTCTCGTCCACCATTGACATTAATTACACCAAATTTGTTAATCTGAACACCTCTGTTGACGACTGGGTCGAACAACTCACACTTGAATATGATGCATTTCAGCTTCAATAATCCTGGGAATTAAACTTCATAAATCTCCTACAAGATCCCAGAGAAATCTGTTTCGCCTTTCACAGATATTCCATAATTACTTGTCGCCCAGTGTCTACCATAGTCATATGTATGAAAAGTATAACCTCATGTGAAATACATCGATGATGTGGTGACCTTTGCAATTGGACCTTGAAGTAATTCGCGAAACCATGCAGGATAATCGGGATCATCATAATCAACCTACAAAAAAATAAGAACTTGAAATTAAACTTACTATCAGGGAATCGAGATGTATGCATAAAAATTTAAGTTATAATACATGTTTCCTCAACCACTTGATAAAGTGTTGATCTTTCCTTGTGGTTAACTCAGTTGTCGATATACCCGAGATTGCTTCTTTGACTTGAGTCACAAATTGGCTGTAAAATTATGTTATGTTATTTAATCAATTGAATATATATAAGTCATGTGTATGAACGTGTTTATATGTTTACCTTTCAAAATAACGAATCAATGGATGCTCACAGTTGAGAAGAATATAAATGTGTGCACTATGGACGTCTTCATCACTTGACCACCAAACCTCCTTCAATTTCCCACCCAATCGCTCAATTTGTCATGAAGTTGTTGAACAATATCCTCTTTAAGAGTGCGTGTGCTCAAATCCCTGAAAAATGCTCAAATTCCTTATATATTACAAAAACAAAAATTAAACACATTAGTATAATCATATTTATATGTACATATATATTAAAAAAAATTAATTAATGCTTGCGTATTATATTACCAGCAAGTGCTCCATGTACCTTTGCTGGTGGTAGCTCCTCAAATGCAAATGGAAGTAGTCGTTGCATAAAGACATGACAATCATGGCTCTTCATCCCAAAGAACTTTTGATTTTTCTCAACACATCTTGAGAGATTTGAAACATACCCATCAGGGAACTTCACTTCTGAAACGACCCAGTTGAACAATATTGACTTTTTTTTTCTAATGATAGTCTGAATATCGGAACTGGAACTTGCTCATTGTTTTTTATATGTAACTCACTTCTTGAGCAGATATCGGATAAGTCCAACCTCGATTTTATGTTGCCTTTTGTCTTCCCTGGGACACTCAATATAGTGTTCACGATGTTCTCAAAAAAATTCTTCTCTATATGCATCACATCGAGGTTGTGGCGAAAAAGAAGATCTTTCCAATATGACAACTCCCAAAAATACTCTTCATGTGCCAATTGTGCTGAACACCATAAGAATTAGACATATTACTGGGAACATGCCAATTACCACCATGAGGAGCTGTTTCTAGTGCACCGTAGTAATCGATTTGCTTTTCAATTTGTTCTCCAGTTAAATATGGAGGAGAAGTGTCTTTGACCACCCTTTTGTGTCTTAACAATGTCTTGTTTCTTCGGTATGGGTGGTAAAGGGGAAGAAATCGACAGTGACTATCGAACCAACTTGTCTTCCTACCATTCTTCAACTGAAACGCATCTGTCATTCCATTACAATATGAACAAACTAATCTCTCATGTGTAGTCCATCCAGACAACATCCCATATGCAGAAAAGTCACTTATCACAAAAGCATCGCTCGCATCGTAAAATTTGTTTTCATTGAACACAATAATATGTCCTCACCCTGTTGAGCACAAATCTTTCAACTTTTTTATCAGTGACTGTAGAAAAACATCGAGAGATCTTTTTGTATGCTTTGAACCAGCTATTAATATGGTCAAGAATAGAAACTCTCGTCGCATGCACATCTATGATGGCAGGTTGTACAGCGTAAGAAAGACTGGCCACAATGAATATTGTCTCCCAAACATTCCAAATGGACTAAATCCATTAGTGCATAATTCAAAATACACATTCTGGCTATTGCTAGCAAAATGTGGATGTACTTTGTTAAAATGTTTACAAGGTTTTGCATCTGATGGATGAGTCAATCACCCATCCGTCTGAGTATGCTCGGCGTGCCACTTCATCCCTCCAGCAGTCTCCTCAAATTGGTACAATCTTTTCAATCTGTCTGTGATTGGTAGGTACCACATCCTTTGGTACGGTACCCTATTTCGTCCTCGTCCTTGCGGTTTGAATCATGGCTTCTTACATAATCAACATTCTTCTAACTGCTCATCATCTCCCCAGTAAATCATGCAGTTGTTGATGCAAACGTCTATCATCTCCGAGGGCAACCCAAGACTATAAACCAGTTTCTGAATCTCATAATAAGACTCAGCAGATACATTGTCTTCTATCAAATACTCTTTTAGACAAGTCTGCCCATGCATCCATGCAATTTTCAGGTAGATTGTGATCGGTTTTAATACTCATCATTCTAGCAGTCAACGACAATTTAGAGAGACATTCTCTACAACCACAGTAAATTGGTGTATTCGCAGCTTTTAACATTTCATAAAACTTTTTTTCATCTAAGTTAGGTTCTTCAACTTCATCATCATGAGTTACAAATGCATCACCTACCATATCATGAATCCTATCACAATATATCATCTGTTCCTTTTGGTGATAACTATTTTCATTATGCAAATGATCAATGGCCGGTTCATCTTGAAAATTGCTATTACTACTGCTAGTTTCATTCCTACAACTATAATCTTCTCCATGTTCATACCAAATACAGTAATGTGGCATGAAACCTCTATTTATTAAATGCTTCCAAACATTTTTCACGAGGGCCTAATTGTATTGTTTCATTTTCGACAAGGACATAACATCTTACTGCTTTTCTGCGTGAGCAGTGTAGAATCTGCTTGATGCATAAATGTCTCCAACCCTTCGAGAAATTCTTTCGTCACTCTCCCGTTATTATCTCTGTGTGTATACATCCACCTCCGTAACTCAAAAATATTCATAGGACCGGACATTTTTTTTTCTTTCAACCTTTAAGCTGATATTTTTTGGTGTGTTTGAAATGAATCACAAATGATGGTATTTATAGAAATTTCTGAATTTGGTATGTGAACATTTACTAGGAATTTACGAGGAAAAATAAGTAGAATACATGTTTTTAAATTTAAAATAAACAAATCCTCGCCATTTCTTTGCTAAACTGCAGTTTAAGTTTTCCTCGTAAATTCTACGCAACGCTTAAGTCGACTTTACGAGGAAATAAAAAAAAAACCACGTAGTTTCCTCGTAAAATTTTAGGACTTTATGAGGAAATCCTTTTCTAGAGAGTTTACGAGGAAAGTATGTTGGATCTTTGTTTTCTCGTAAAGTTCTCGTAATATCGTCGTAACTTTATGAGGAAACTTTTTCCTCGTTAATTTCCCTAGTTAAAAAAATCATTTTCTTGTAGTGAACAACTGCAACAAAGTTTCAACTATTTTGGGATCAAACATATACCCCGAACTCAAAAATAAGGGTGGACCATCTAGCACAAAATATTCGCAGCTAACTATTATATTTTGTTCACATGGGTACATAGTCTTTTTTTTTTCTTGTTTTCAGAATCCTTTTAGAGTGTGTAAAGACCTTAGTCTAGTACTAGTTAACGTTTAAAAGTTTCTTTATCCAAATCTAGAGTTCAAACTTCCAAATTATGCATTTTCTTGCAGAACATTAGATGCAAGTTATCAGGAACTCTAGAGTATTGTAGGTAAAGCAGTTTCTTGTGGTCATCTGCTGTGGAGAGAATATGTCTATCAGGATATTATATACATACTCGTCAATTGATCCAAGTGTTTCGGAAAAAACTTCATCGTGGAACAATTATCTATAAAACTGTTCATCAATATCACATATATTGTAGATAGTTGATCATCATATGTAACATCATTTGAGATTATATGATGATGCTATGTGTGCTATAGAGTGTTAAAAACACATTTTTTTGAAATTGTTTAAATTGATGAGAAAAAATACTTTTTGAAACAGAGATATTTATTCAAAATTTTATCATAAATAGTTTCCTTATAGAAAATTCCATGATATATAAGTCTTTAGTCATTAAAAAAAAAAAAATTTCTTATTTCAATTTTATTGCCGATCACAGAAACGACACGAAATAAATGCAAGTGGTCAATGCACAGATAAAAATAAATTAATATCTTTACCATATTTAAAACAAATACTAGATACAGTGAATTAACAGAAACGGATGGGTAAAGTAAAGTGGAAGGAACATATATCGACACAAGACAATAGAAACAGAACATAGAGACACGCTTTCACTTTCTCAGAAACAGTTACGCGAAGAAGATGAAACGACAAAGAAACCTTTAAAGTTCTCATATCTTTAAATCCCGGATCTACCCACCCTTTCCGAAACCTCCGGTTCCCGATCGGTGATGTATTGAAGCGGGAGAGATGTTGTGCTGGAGCAGTTTGGTTAAGCGGAAGGAGAAATCCGGTTCTTTTCCGGTTTACCTGAATGTCTATGATCTAACTCCTATGAATGCTTATGGTTACTGGCTCGGACTTGGCGTCTTTCATTCTGGTGTTGAAGGTGAGTTATGTTTTGTCTTTTTTATTAATTTTGTTTATAGTACTCAGTTTAAGTTTCTTGGTTTGGATTCTTCTGTTCGAACGTACTTGTTTAGTTGCTAGTAGTTCAAGAAATAGCTAGGCCGTAACTAAGCGCTTTGTATAGAATTAACGACTTCGGGCTTTAAGCAAGACCTAGGCAGTCAAGAATTATTGATTTATTTTATATATATTTTATATTTATGTGAGATATTTTAGTTTTCGGCTTTAATTATAAACATATTGATCAAAAAAAAAAATCAATAATAGATATACAAAATAAAATAAATTAGAAAAATTTGTGGATTTGTACTAACATAATTGTTTAATTTAATAAATTTAGACTAAGTTAAATCGATTTAAACTATTTGTGAAAGTTCGAACCGATTTAGAATGGTTTAAATCGATTTGAATCGTACACATTGGATTTTATGAAAATCGTTTCAGCTATGACAGATTTTTAGAACCTTGCTGATGAGAAGTTTTGACTGATAGATTGAGAACTGGTTTTTAGATTGTAATGGACTGGTTCAATTGATTAAATCTTCTGTAGTTCATGGAGTTGAATATGCATTTGGAGCACATGAATCTCCAAGCACAGGTATTTTTGAAGTAGAGCCAAAGAAGTGTCCTGGTTTCACCTTCAGGAAATCTATTCTCGTAGGGAAAACAGACACGGTTGCGAAAGATGTCAGAGTATATTTGGAGAAACTAGCAGAAGAGTATCGAGGAAACAAGTACAATCTCATCTCAAGAAACTGCAACCATTTTTGCAATGAAGTTTGTGTTAAACTTACTCAGAAACCAATCCCTAGATGGGTGAACCGACTAGCTCGCTTAGGTAAACCAATCAAGTTATTATTGTACGTGTTTGGTTACAGGAAACATCATCAAGCAAGTTTAATGTACTAACGGATTTGTGTTCTTTGTCTGAATATTGTGTAGGGGTTCTCTGTAACTGCGTGTTACCACCACGCTTAAACGAGTCAAAAGTGAGACGAGTAGTAAAAGAAGAGCTTTCAGAAGCAGAGAAGAAGAAAAAAATGAGTAAACGATCACGATCAGGTCCTTTACTTTCTACCTCGTCGTCTTCTTCGACACCTGATGATAATCATAGTTCACACATTCGAGCAAAATCAACTGGTAACCATTCTGCTTCTTCTTTGGGTTCTAAGAAAGGTCAAAGACACTGTGCGTTAACTGCACCTCAAGCTCAAGACAAGAAGTCACCAAGCGTAAGCGTCAAGACTTGATTCCTATCATCATTATTTGAAAATTTATTATTGTTAATGAAAAAACCAAAGGGAAAGAGGAAAATGCTAAGCAAAGTATCAATCATACATGGCATGCTTGTCCTTTGTTCCAAATTTATTATTCAATATTCACCATACTTGACAAAAAATTTCGGTGCTTTTTGTTTTTGTGTGTGTCCGAATACACTAACTACAAGGGCATAACAACTGGACATTTGATCGTTATTTGATCGTAAAACACTTCTTACGACTAAATAACGACGAACAACAAATGGTCTTTAGTCGTTGTAATTTACATGTTGTCTTTGTAAAATGGATGTAAAGTGTATGACCAAAATATTTAGTCGTAAAGCAGTTTCAAAAAGCGTAGTCATAACTTAGAGGTTCATAAAGTTATGTCCTAAGATGTACACATGTGTAAAGTGTGGCCGTAAAATGGAAGCACTTGTTTGCTATAAATGAGAATTTAGTGAGTCGTAACATTTACGACCAAATAACATCTTCCACAATTGTAATGTGGTCGTAAAAGTTACAACCAGTTTACTTCGAAAATGTAAGCAGTCGTAATGTAAACTTAACGTTTACGACCAGTTTACCTCGAAAATCTTTAATCCGTTACATTTTACGTCCAAATGTATAATTAAGAGAAATATATAATTAATTTTAAATTTATAAATTTTAAAATTTTTAATCAATAATTTTTAATTTTACATATTTATGAAATCCTTCAATTTCGAAAATATAAAAAAAAACATTAACTTAATAAATCCAAAAGCATAATATATTCAAATTACAAAAAAATAATTATTAAGGTTAATGTTTTTCGAAAAACTGGGAGCTATTCTCCTTGGCTACTTGCTCCACATTTGCCTTCTCTTCTGGAGTTGGATCAAGGTTGAAGGTCGAACATCTAGATTGCCACATTTGTGCAAAGACTAGGCTTGTTTCTGCAATAATATCAAACATCTCTGCCATGGCTCTAATGTGGTTCTTGTTGGTCTGGTTGTCGGTCCGGAGGGTCGAAATGACTTAGTTGGCGTTTGTCAAATCGGCTCGGAGTTGAGATTCTTCATGCAGTCTTGCAGCATGTTCAGCTCTAGCCCTCGAGACATCGTTCCTCGTACTAATCCCAATCATCCGTTCCCTCTTCTTCGTGATAACCTTCATTCAATGACAAAAATATAAATTAAATTAGTAAATATATAAAATTAGAATTAATAATTAAAATTGAATAATAATATACCTCATCAAAATTTTTATCTTGTTCGACGGTAGTTAACTGGACGGGTTCGCTTTGTTGCGACAACTGTGTCTGGACCTCCTGGATCCGAGCCTCAACATCGTTGTAGATCCTCTCTGCTCGAGGATCCACAAACGTCCCATCATAATGCTAGTGCGTCAACTTTTAAAGTCGGGAAACAGAAGGTGGTGCTCCTTCCCGAGCAGCCTACAAAAATTTAAAAATTAAACTCAAGTATTCAATTAACAATTTATTAATAATTTAAAACAAATTAAAAATCAAAAAAGTTCTACTTACAATTTCTAGGGTTTTCACGGTGTGTGGAGTCTGCCCAGAAGTGTGGGGAGATAGAAATTTACTGTCAGCACCATGCGTCATTCGGGACTTAAAGCAACAAATCGAAGTTCGAACTGACTTAGGAAAATTCCAAGAAGCCTTCAAACCAGTCCAAACTTGGTCGCTGATGAAGATGGGTTTTGCGTTATCATGGTGAACCCTCCACTTCTCCTTCCAATGCCCACAATGTTCTTCTCGTTCACCTGCTGCAAAAAATAAGTAAAATAAGAAATTATTAATTAAATGAATCTAAAAATAAATTCATTTAATTAAGAAATAAATTTTTATAATTACAACTTACCGCAAAGCATTTGTACCAAATCTTCCGAACGTGGTCCGGTGTAAGCTTCCAGTTTGGATGCGGATCCCAGAAGTTTACCTTGATGATGTCTGAGACGCTCCGTGCCAAGCGATTATCCGTTAGAAACCTACAAAAAAATTTAGAAATACATTAGATCAAAAATATATATATATATATATATATATAATTAATTTGATTAACTAACATATACAATTAAATATTTAATAATGAAAAAAAAATTCAAAAGTTACAGAAAGTGTTGGGTGGTTGATCTGGATCGACGGTGGGTAAACCTTCTCATCCCGGCATCTGGAGAAGATCTCCCACTGTAATCTAGCATAGGGAGCATCCGGTGGTACAAGCAAATCCGACTGGGCAGCTGCAGAAGGCGGAGCAGTTCGGGGGGCTACTGGAGGAGAGGCATATTGCTGATGATGATCGTCATGATGGTGTGGAGGAGCCTCATGATGAGGATCGTATGGAGAATCATGCTGAGGGTAGTATGTAGGAAGGTCAAACTGAGGAGGCGGATGCACATATTGCGGTGGAGGCACATACGGAGTAGGAGGCACATAAGATGATCTACCTTGCTCTTCTGTCTCCGGTACAAACTCCCGGGCAGATGCAGTGCAGGAAGTAGAAGATGATGGATCCAACGAACCGAGAAATGTATCTCCATAAGAAGGTCGAGTTTCCCCCAAAATATTTCTTAATCTCTTTCTCCCAGACATATCGTCGATCTGTACAAATAAAAAATTTATGGTTAGCCACAGTTAATTTAAAACTAGGATACGACCTGCACTTTGTGCAGGGTGAGTGTATGTAACTAAAATATAAAACTTTAGTATTGACAAATTTATAATTTACATATGATTGTTTTTATATGTATTTGGAATTTTGGAATCTGTATATAATTATCTATACGTAGATCAAAAACAATTGTAATTAGAACTGTAGATTAAAATTTAAAATTTAATGGGTCCGGTTCATATATTTTTCACTTTTCAGTGTTTGTGTGATGAAAAATAAACGGAGTGTCACATGACTTAGTTAGTAGAGCATTATCAAGTTCCCTAATGATTTCTTAATAAGCAGTTGATAGAATATTTGCATTTAGAATATACAAAGTTTCGAAACTAATTTAATATAATTTATTTATTTGTCTAATAATATCAGAAAATTTTATTTTTAAAAATAAATTTTAAAATAAAAATTTTATAAAAAAATTAAGTTAAATTTTAAATTATGATACCAAAGAGTATTACGACCAGTTAGGGTCGACAATTTATGTCTGCATTATGACCAATTATAGTCAACACACGTCAATTACGACCAGTTAGGGTCTAAATATTTATAATCCAGTTACACAACAATTCATTTACTAAAAAAAACTAAGTAATTGAGTTTTCGGTATCTTAATTAAGTATCCAAAAACTCAACTACTTAACAAAAAACCTAAGATATCTAAAAAATTAATGTTTATGAGAACGTCCGACTCTTTATTCCAAATGTTCCATAGAGAATTATCAGAGTCCTGAAGACTCATCTTAAGTTACCAATATATTCAGTTACTTGAGAGGAATCTCTAGAATTCTGACAAATCTTTATGAGAACATTTGATTAAGATATTATCACAAAAATCTTAAAACTTTTAATAAACAAGATTTTTTTTTTATGTTTTTTTTTGTTTTTGTTGTGCAATTTTCAAATGCGGGAGGGTAACATATTTATAGGGAAGTTTCCAAAAATATTGAGACTAAAGGTAAGTTTGGTCGTAATGTAGAGGTTAAGTTACGACTACTTTAGGTCCACAAGCCTTTACGACGACCTAGGGACCAAATTTACTAGTTTGGTCGTAAAATAGAGGTTACGTTACGACTACTTTGGGACTCCTTCCTTTTACTACGACATGGGGACCACATATATCAAAAATGGTAGTAAATTAGAGGTATAGTTACGCTTAATTAGGGACTATTAATGTTTATTCCATTAAACCGAAACCCCAAACCTCAAACCCCAAACTTTAAACTTCAAATATATCATTTCAAAACTCCAAATTTCATAATCTCAGAAAACACTTTAATAATATTGAAAATATAATACAATACAAACTCGAAACTAAACGAGCGTACATAATGTTATTACTCGTCATCATCCAAACCATCATCCGTTTCATCAATTTCTTCAAAATCATCTCTGTTGCTTTCATCCGCTAAATCGCCGGGAAGATCTTCATATTCTAGGTTTTGAGGATCAACAAGTAAAATTTCATCAGTACGTTGTTCAGACACTTCCACTTCATTTATAGCATCAGGTGAAATGGCGGTTGTTCATCACTTATTGTACGACCCTGATGTGTACCTTTTATAACGACTAACCAAGATATTCCAGATTGTCTAATCTTCAGATATGGAATAAAAAAACTTGGTCTGCTTGAGATGCCAAAATGTAGGGTTCAAATTTGTTGTACCTTCGTCTGGGATTGACATCCACAACTCCAAACTTGTTATACCGAACACCTCTATTCTCTTGGGGTCGAACTAGCCACATTTGAAAAGGAGACATTTCATCTTCATGAAACCAGGGAATTCCACTTCGATGATCTCTTGTAAGATTCCTTAGAAATCTGTTTCACCTTTTACATGTACTCCATAGTTCATCGTTGCTCGACGACTTCCATACTCATAAGTGTGAAAAATGTAACCTCGGGTGAAATTTATAGGTGTTGTGGTCACCTTAGCAACTGGACCTTATATTAATTCATGAACCCACACACTATAGGATGGATCATCATAATTAACATGTACATAATATTTATATATTTATTAATACAATGGATTAATAGTAAAATATCATAACTAATTAGGGAAAATAGCATAAAAAACCTTCAAAGTGACACTCACTAGCACTTTAAACCTTGAACTTATTTAACTAGCATATTGAACATTCAACTTGACATTTTTATCACAAAAAACCTTCAACTTGGCTTACTTGTTCGTCAAGTTAAAATTGTGACTTGTTAACCTACAATAGTAGGTTACATGTTGTTTTTTTTTTTTTGTTTTTTAATTAATAATTGCAATTAACAATAAAAAACCTAAAATAAAATTAGAAAATTACAGA